CCCCGCTCACACCCGCCATTTCGGCCTACACTGGCGGCTGCCCATCCCTGGACTTTGTCCCCGCGGCCCTGCCACCGAGCCCGGCTCCATCCCCCGTCCCCGAAGCCAGGAGCGGGGTCCCTGACACCCGCCGGAGTTACAAAACAGGGCAATGGGCCAAGCCGGGCCCCACCAGGGAGGGAGCGGGGCCACTGGTTGAGCATTAACCTGGCACTGCGGGACTCGGACCACAGAGAAACCGGTCGTGCCGGAGCCAGTTTCACTGGAAGTCCCCAAGGGCTAAATATATCCATCTTTGTTTGCTTTTCCTTCCCCAAAAGAAAACTCCGGGTGTAATCATGTGCCTTAACACGCAGATCATACGATCATCGAATGGTTTGGGTTGGAAGGGACCTTTGAAGATCATCCAGTCCAACCCCCCTGCCGTGGGCAGGGACATCTTCAACTAGACCAGGTTGCGTAAAGCCCCGTCCAACCTGGCCTTGAACACTTCCAGGGAGGGGGCACCCACAACCTACTCCAGTGCCTCACCACCCTCACGGTGAAGAATCCCCAATCCCAGAAACTAACTGGCAACAGACTTAACAGAATTTTGTTAAGGATTTTGAGAACCAGCTATTGCACGGGTGTTGGCAGACATCATGACCCATGCCAAGATGCTCCCACAGCCACGAAGCCCCCAGGCTCTCTCGCGTGCAAGGACGGGCAGCGCAGCACTGAGCTCGCAGAAGTGCTTGCAGGTATCGCCTCATTTGAAGTCTGTGGGAGCTGGGCATGTCTGAAAGGGAACGGCTGAAATATACCATGGAAACAATTTTATGACACAAGGAGACAGATTTTTACTGCTCAGAAGTCCCAGAGTCTTTCATCAGACAGACGTGGAATGAAAGATTCAGGGCAGCACATTGTCGTCCTGCTCTGAATACCTGAGAGGCTGCAGCCAACCTCCCCGCAGAAACAAAAAGATTAAAAAAGAGCTTCTCCCAAGGGACAAAGTCCAGCCCCGCTGTCCCCAGGGTCATCACGGCACTGGGGGTGCTGTTCCCACGGGGCAAAAGCATGGAGCCTGGGCAGGAGCTGCCACCCCTTGACTCACCCGTGGGCACTGCCCTTCCAGCTCAGGCAAAAGCTGACACTGCCCTCTCTTGGGCTCGCCCACACACAGCAGCAAGCTTCTCAGGAGACACAGCCCACCAAAAAAGTCCTGGGCTTATGGCACACACGATCTTAAACCAAAGCTCTTCTTTTAGACCCAGCCTGGAGCACTGAAACACAAGGGGTTTCCAACCTCTCCCCTCCAGATTTCATCTTCTGCTGTTTGGCAAAAGCCGATACTGAAATTTCTCTGTAGAGGCAGCAGCAGTGTGAGAGGGACACATGACCCAGGAACTTGTCTGAGCTGGCTGACAGTAGGGAGATGCTCTGGCGAGAGAGTCCAGCTCCATGTCCTCACCTCTTCCTACTCAAAGCATGCTCAGAGCCTCCTGACAATCAGGCAGTGCTATTTCCAACCGTGCGAGACACTCTCCCTTTAGCAACAGCTTCCCACGCTACCTTCTTCCTCCTTCCCATAAGGCATCTATGGCTTTTACAGAGACTTTTTTTTCTTTTTTTAAAAAAAATCAGCAAAATTAGCGACCGTGGGATGGCTGGAACCACTGGTGCTGACTGCAGCACATACAGCAGCGAGGACGAAATCTGCTACAAACACACATTTCTTCAGCCAGCAACTCAAACTTGGAAGTAGCCCGACTTGAGGCCACAAACACCCCAGAGATGCTGAGCAGGCAAGAAGAGCGTGGGAGGTGCGTGACAGCCTGCACCACTCAGAGCTGCGCTGCAGAACGGTTCTTGATTGAACATCAGGGTCTTCGAGGCTCTGAAACGCACAGCCCCACCGGCCCCTACCTCAAGGGGAAGGAGAAGTACTTGTTCCCCGACTTGCAGCGGATTTGCTCCCATTGGACACGCAGCAGGAGCGCCGAGTCCTCAAACCCGTCCACGATGTCCTGGAAAACAGATGCAGGAGTCAGCACCAGGAGGGTGGATCTCCCAGAGGAAGGAGTCGGCGGCTCCCTCTCTGAACCAAGTCAGAGATGAGGCCGTTTGTGGCTGGAAGCCTCTGACTTCCCTTCTGGAGGGTGATTAACTCACGCTCCCCCCAAAAGCTTCCCTTCTTTCAACCCAGTGAAGTTTGTCTTGCTCAGTGAAGAGAATTTCCCACTCTCCGCCCTTGGCAGGGAGACATGGCTGGACACCAGCTCTGCTCTTCCCCTGCTCTCCACACTGCGTGGGGACGCACCTGGAGCTCCCGCAGACACTGCCCTTCCAGCCTGCCGGACAGGTCCCCGACGCACCAGGCCAAGCTGATATGGAACGACGGGTCCTGAAGACAAAACAGGGATCAGACTGCAAGGGCTAAAGGAGGCTTTGCTCAACACACGGAGCCGCAGTGGGAGATCTGGTGTGATGCTGCCCTGCCTGGGATCGCAGAGGCAGGAGGATCCCGAAGCTGGAAGCCCCCTCTGCCAGCTCAACAGTTGCAGAGCTGATATGGGCAGTGCTGGGGGCGAGATGAGTCCTGGGCTCCCCACCCCAGCCTTTTTGGACACCAGTGGGCAAGGCTGCCTGGTTCCCAGCCTCCCTGTGGTCAACTCTGCAGAAGCTTTTCCAACTGCACAGAGAACCTCTCACAGACAGTCCTGGAGTGTGTAGGTGGGTCACTTCTGAATAACCCACAAGAGCCCCCTGCTCAGCTCTGGAGACAGAGAAATCAGGGTTTGGCCCTTCAAAATCCAAAACCTGTCCCCAAAGCTAGTACCAAGCAAAGAGGCTGGACCAATGCCCCAGGAAACTGCCCAAGGAAGAGGCACAAGCATCGCCCTCAGTCCCATGGTGCTCTCCCTAAGCCCATTCTATCCTAGGACAACCCTGCTTCCACGCACAGCGGGGCAGCAACCGTGACGTACGATCTGGCCCGTCGCCCCAGAAACCCGGTTCTCAAGAGGCCACCAGATAGTTAACATCCTTACTCTCCTGTACAGGATGCGATACAGAAGTCATAGGCTTGCGCTAGTCCCATTCTCAGCAAGATCATGTCCAGGGTGTTAAGTATGAGCATCACTGACCAGCCCAGAGGAGACCATTTCAGAGTCTAACCTCCCCGCTCCTGTTTATTTGGGGTGAACATTTCATGGACCTCTTGCAAGGATCCAGCCGGCATCTCTGGACCGGCAGGGAAGTAAGTGGGAGACCCCTCACCTTGTAGAACGTGGGAAGGCCAAATTCCTCCAGAACTCTGTCCACCTCTGAGACCAACTCCAGCAGCTGGAAATGCCCAGCAGAGACCTCCAAGCCAATAAAGGTCCTAAAGAAAGACAAGGAGAGACAAGGAGAGACCCTTTCATGCTGCAGAAAGCACAGCCGTAAGCATACTTAGCCCTGCATTCCTACCAGGCAAATTCCCTACCCCCTAACAAAAGATAATTTGAGGAATGCCAGGTTTAAGCATTCAGAAGAAAAACAGAAATAAAGACGTGGTAGCAGGGAGAGGCAGGACTGGATGATATACCACATAGATTTACTAGATTAACTCAGCACCTTTTGGGACATGAAAACTCATTTTCCAGGCAAAGGATGTACTCGATGGCTATGTCAGCGGAGTGCCGTGCCGTGCCGTGCAGGAGCCGCATTCAAAAAGCAGAAGTTGTCAGAGGGGTTTTACCAGAGAGGAAGCAGGGAACGGGAAGTACCAAGCTGGAGAGACGTGACAAAGAGGTACCTCCTCAAGGACTGTCTGGATGACGCCTTCTAGACTCCAGGAGTGGAGGGGAAGACTAAGTCTCACCCAGGATCCGCTTCGTCCCGTCCATGACTATCGTGGGCTGCCATTCCCGCTAGATTCAGCAACTTTTCACAATTTTAACCACCTTTGTTTTGACATTTAAACTACTTAATTGTGTTCAGTTGGAATCAGGCTTCTGAGCTGACACCCAGGAGAATTAGCACCATCTAAGCTATTTCTCTCCAGCTCTTGGAAGACCTGCGCTACAATTTCACAACCGGCACTGCTGCCAAAAGAGGTGGCCGCCGGCTCTGCTCGCCCCAGGCTGCTCACGCTGGCACGAGGGTTTGCGAAACCGCAGAACAAACCAGACAGGAGATGGCAGCGAACACAGCTGCCTCCTTTAGCTGCTGTGAAACCGTAGCACAAATCTAACCCCAGCAGAAAGGCCTGCCTCAGGTCATGTTGTGAACAGACCTCTTCTCTTCAGAAGACTGAAATCCTGCAGTCTGAGGTTCCCCCACCACTAACAAGACCAACGGCTTGCAGAGAATTAGTGCTGAAGGTAAAAACTTGTGCAAGTGGCTGGGGAAAGGTGTGAAACCTCTGGAGACAAGGTGATCACATACTGCCCTGTCACATGCTCAGCCCGGTCACCACGGGACAGGCAGGGCGATGCTTCCCATCCACCCAGCACCTGGCCCAGCTTTCTCCCCAGGCAGGCAGGCAGGCTGCCCCGTTGCTCGCTCACCTGGTTTTGTTCTGGTTGGTGTAAACCTTCACTTGGTCAGCCACGCAGAAGAACCTGAAATAAGAAAGAACCTACTTCAGCTAGTGGGGAAAAAAAAGAAAAGAAAAAAAAAAGAGGATGGAGAGGGGACAGGATTTCTACCGAGCTGTGGAAAGATAAAGGCAAATGCATGCCGCAAGCGGACCGAATCGGTGCAACCAGAACCTTTCTGGGAATTAATCCATTCCCCCCTGCCTGGTTTCCAGCCCTCCTGGAGAGGGGACAGGATTTCTACCGAGCTGTGGAAAGATAAAGGCAAATGCATGCCGCAATCGGACCGAATCGGTGCAACCAGAACCTTTCTGGGCTCAAATTAATCCATTCCCCCCTGGTTTCCAGCCCTCCAAAGCCCGCGTGGCAACAGAAGCCCTGAAGCAGCTGATGCTCAGCAGGCGCTTGAGCCAGTAAGCAGTGAAACCATCCATGGTTTGCAGGATGCACAGCTCCAGCCTCGTCCTTGAAAGCCTGACTTGTCTGGTGCCGGATCACGAGGCAGAGAGGAAAGCTTCCCAGGGCTTTACTGGTGCAGCACCAGCTCCCAGAGACGACTTAGCATGCGGATGCTGGTGAAACACAGACCCCGAGGGAGAGGGAAGGGTGCGAGGAGCGCTCTCCCTGGGCTCCGCCGTCCCTACCTGTCGAAGGAGGCCAGGCGCTCCTTGAGGGAGCGGACGAAGGGGTCTATCCAGTGGTAGCGCAGCACCACGCACTGCGAGAGGCTGAGGTGGAACTCCTCCATGGCAGCCAGCGAGGAGACGTAGGTGCGAGCGCGGGAGACCAGCAGCTCCAGCAGCTCCAGGAATTCCTCCTGGACTCTGTCTGCGGGGCAGCGCGGTCAGAGCCGGGTCCCTCCCCGGAGCATCGGCCGCGGATCCCCACCGGGGACAGGCGGCTCCCCCAGGGCTCCCGTCCCCGCCGTGCACCGGCTGACCCTGGGGGCTCGTCGGACCCCACCCGGCTGGGCTCCGTCCCGCCCTCCCCTCCCGGTCCCGTCCCGGGCCGCCGTTACCTACAGGGGGGGGGGGGGGGGGGG